CGCCGAGGAGGGGCAGGGAGGAGGAGGAGGAGGATGCTCGCCCCGAGGAGGGGCAGGGAGGAGGAGGAGGAGGATGCTCGCCCCGAGGAGGGGCAGGCAGGAGGAGGAGGAGGATGCTTGCCCCGAGGAAGTCCGGAGGGTGCTGGCACCTGTGACAGGCACCTGTCCCCATAGGTTGGCACGCGTGCAGGCAGCCCTGCGGCGCCGGGCAGCAGACCTGCGTGACTCCCTGGTGCTGTCTGAGTTCCTGCAGGACCTGCAAGAGGAGGAGGCGGCACGGAGCCGGCAGGGACCTGCAACGGTGAGTAGTGGGGCCAGGCATCCCTCAGGATCGCCCGGCACCTGGGACTGGCCCAAGGGTTGGTCTCTGGCTGGCAGGGGGACCCCGTAGGTGAACCCCTCTGGCCCAGCTGCCTCGGGGGTTCGCTCCCCATCTCCCTCACACCCGGTGTTTCTGTTGGTTTCAGCCAGGGAGTGGGCACTGCGGCTCACAGGGGTCTTTTCCCCTGCTCTCGGCCCAGGCTGGGCAGCCACCAAGCAGTGAGGACATGAGCCGCCCCCTGGGAGAGCTGCAGGAGGCCGTGGAGATGCTGAACGATGCAGCGAAGGAGCGGGAGCGGGTCATGGAGGTGGCGGCGGAGACGGAGAGCCTGGAGCACCTGGTAGGGGATGGAAGCAGAGGGTCTGGGGGAGCAGCTGTGTGGTCCACTTGCAGCTGGACACGCTGGCTAGTAGGGACATGTGCCTCAGCTGGTCCCGGTGGGACACAGAGCGTTGGGATACATGGGGCCCACTTTGTACGAGGCTGGTATCCCCGTCCCTCTCGTGGCTGGTGCTCCCTGTCCTTTTTTAGGCTCGTGGCAGGGTGCCAACAGACTGGGGTGGGCTGGGGCCACGTGGCGAGTGGTGGCACAGGGGGTCCTATGCTGGGGCTCACCTCTCTTCCCCCCGCCCCCCCTCAAGGCGCTCTCCCCCCCGCCGCCCATCCAGGTGGCAGAGGTATCCCCGCGCCTGGAGGCCCTTCGATGCAGAGCCGAGACGCTGGCTCAAGACATTGCCGAAGCAGAGAGTGGCTTTGCTGAAGTGAAGAGTGAAAAGGACCTCCAGGGGCTGCAGGGCTTGCTGAGCCAGCAGCAGGAGATGGAGGTGAGACCTGGGGAACACCACAGCTGGCTGTGCCCGTAGCGGGGAGGTGTCCCGGCTGGCTGGGGCCACCCCAGCCTGGGGCCCCAGGTGTCGTAAGCCTTGGCACAACGCAGCAGGCTGGGCTGGAATTTTCCAGCAGAGCCGAGCCCTGCCTCGCTGTGCTCCCCTCTGCCAGCACGGGCCAGGCGAGGGGAGAGAGCTTGCATCAGCTCCCATGTGCCAGCACCCAGCTTGCCAGCACCTCGCTCATCTTCCCGCTGGCAGCAGGGTGACGTGCAAGCAGAGCGGGGAAACCAGGCAGCCCTTGCTCTGCCCGTCCTCCCCAGCGAGGGTGGCTCTGCCCGCTCCCCGCGTCCCCTCCTCCGTCCCCACGTCCCCTCCTCCGTCCCCGCGTCCCCCCTCCATCCCCACGTCCCAGAACACAGGGAGGTCCAGCCTGGGTGCAGAAGGATTGGATGCATCCTGAACCTTTTCTGCCTTGTGATTTTTCAGCGTGCGGTGTCAGAAACCCTGCAAGGGCAGCTGGAGGAGCTGGAGAGGGCAGCTGCCCGCTTGCAACAGCTCTGCCCTGCTCGGCTCTGCCCCGTCAGCCGGGAGGTGCAGGGGACACTGTGGGCCTGGGCAAGGCTACGGGAGCTGCTGCGGGAGACCCAGGCCCGCATGCGGCAGGCCGGCCGGGCGGGGGGCTTCTTTCAGGAGTACTTTGATGCAGCGTGGGTGTGGCCGGAGCTGCAGCCAGGCAGGACGATGGGGAGCCTGGAATGACAGGCTGTGCCAGGGCTGCCTGCTGTGGGGCAGCCCCATGGCATCTTGCCCTTCCCCACCAGGCTTGCTGCTACCCCAATGAGCTGCTTGCAGCCGTTCCTGAGCGTGGGAATGGCTTCCCTGGGCTGAGGAGGGGCTGGGTTGTCCCTCAGCTCCCTCAGCCCACCTTTCACATGCCCACAGCTCCTGGACGGAGGACACGCGGGCTCAGATCTTCTCTGAAAGCCCAAGTGGCCACGGCCTCGCTGAGGCTCCATGCGAGGAGCTGGAGAGGAGGATCGAAGGGAAGCTGAAGGAGTTCGAGGCGCTGGCAGCATCAGGGCAGCAGCTCGTGTCTGAGGAGCACTACCTGAGTGCAACAGTAAGGACAGGGGAAATGGGGTTGGGGAAACCCTCAGCACCCCCCGAAATCCTCTAGGGACAGAGTCTAGAGGAGAGAGCACAGTGTGGGTGCAGAGCCCCCATGAGTGGTACGGGGCCAGCCATGCATCCCCAGGGCTGCTCAGGGCAGGAGGGGTTTCATCCAGCAAAGGATGCTGAGACCTGAGGTGACTGACTGTGTGGCACTCCCAAAAACCTCCTAAACTGCTCTGTAGTGAGGTGCCCTGGTAGGGACAGTGTCCCTGGGCCAAGGGTCATAGAATCATAGAATTGTCTAGGTTGGAAAAGACCTTTATGATCATCAAGTCCAACTGTTCCCCTAACCCTGCCATCCCACCACTAAACCCTGTCCCTAAGCACCTCATCTACCCTTCTTTTAAATACCTCCAGGGATGGGGACTCGACCCCTTCCCTGGGCAGCCCATTCCAGAGCCTGACAGCCCTTTTGGTGAAGAAATTTTTCCTAATG